ACTCGCCCGTGCCGGTATCGCAAAATTTCCACAGCTTCGGAAGACCTACAAACACCCGTTGCGACTCTCCGCTTCGGCATTGGACCAAGCTCGGCGATGGAATAAACATTGCACGCGTACCCGATCACGGTCGATAGCCCCGCCGGATAAAACCATGGGACATTCTCGCGTGGGGCACACGCCGCACATTGCCAGCGCCGTGGACATCCAGCCGACGGAGTGATCCGACCCGCGAATTCCGAAAGTTTGGCCGCGCGCCGCTCGTCCCCCTCGAAAACGCACGCTGGGGCTTGGACAGCATTCTTCCGCAAACGAACAACTTTCGGGCGTCATCCAACTGATATCTGCGTCACGCGACGACATCTTGTCACTTGGCCGCCAGCGATGAAACAGCAACTGTGCGTTTCCCACGTAAAACGGAAAATATAAGTATGGCTTCAACGCTTCCGCTATTGCGCCCCCATCCCTAGATGTGCGAGGGGAGTTTGAAGAGAACGTCTGGTCCACACTCGCTTTGCGAACGCTTCATCCTCGGCCCTACTACGTCGTCCAGCCCAACCTCTCCGCATCTGGCCGCGTCTTCAGCAAAGTCACCCGTGGTGAAGATCCACCCCTCTTCCATGCAATCATTACACATCCTGGTTAGTCGCACTCCGTCGCAATGCTGCATGCCTCGTCATGTAGCCGCGTGCCCCTCCATGTAATATCCACGTTTCCTTTTCCGCGCTTCAGTTCCTCCGAAAACGCCGACACCGTGGCGTCCGCGCCAATGCTTGAACGCAACATGTAGGATAAGTTGGGCTTGGCCCTGCGGATCTCGAAATCGACTTGCGTTGAGCGGTATCGCCCGCAATAGAGTCAGCACTAAGGGGACTGAGCCCACATGCACCTAGGGTAGAAAGACAGAGACAGGGATAATATACATATATATATAGAGAGAGAGAGAGCGCGCAACAACAAGAGAGAGAGAGAGATGGAGGTTCAAGTGAAGAAGCCATATCTTTATATGTAATATACTATATACATATAGAATATATGAATAACACGCTCGCGCCCAGGAGGCTATGACGTCACGCCCGCAAGTGCTCCCGAAACGCGGTCCGCGCAGCTTCGGAGAGCACACTCTGCTGAAAAAATGAACAGCGGACTTGCTGGCAGAGGCCCTGAACGAATGGACTCCGTCATTTGAAGTGGGCCGTGTGCAAGATCTGACGAAGCCCATGCTTCAAGGACAAGCGCCCTCTCCTCCTCTTTCTCTTCCTCCCACAAGTGTTCCCCGAAGGGTTCCCACGACGGCTGGGGGTAACACCGAGTCCGATAGCGTGGCCGAGCTCTGTCAAGAACATTCGGCCGCATAGGCGTTTCCAAAGGCAGGGGCGGCCGTGATCCGCCGCAGGCGTCTTCGATCCGCCGCCCCACGTGGCTTGCCACGGGGGTGCACGGTGCACCAGAAGGTCTGAATTGTTTCAGATCGACTACACGTACATTTTGACTTGTCAGTCGGCGCACAACCCGCTGCTATCGCCTCGCATTCAACGATCGTGGGGAAACCAAAAGGTACCGATACCGCTACTCGATCCCTGGACCTCTCCTGGGGTGCGTTCTGACCAAGACTTCGAGGCGAATCCAGCCGTGGCGACGAGACCGCCCAAGAGGCCCCAAAAAGGGACAACGAGGCGAAGGGTAGCAATATGGTTACCTGCTCTTCCTCTGAAGAGGTCACTGCGGCGAGAGATCAGAACCTTACGCGTAATCGATGAGCTCTCGCTGAAGCTTTCCGGGTGGGGTCTCGGCCAGACCCGCCGGCCACCCAGCGGGGCCCGCTTTCCCCCCTACGAGGTGGGAGGGAAAGCCCCAGACGCCTCGAAGGCGGTCGAGAAAGGCCTCCAGGATGCCTCCAAGAGGGCCCCCAAGCCTCTATGGTTCGCCGTAGGCATCTTCGATACCAAACAAGACCTCGACCGTGTCGAAGAAAGACCCGGGGATCATCGCCCGTGCCCATGGGTCCGAGCCGTAGTACGTGTAGACGTCGAGCTCATACCCCACTTCAGCCCCTGCGGGAAGACGCCAGAATTCCAACCCTGCACACGCCGTCCCTTCGTCCTTCCCACTTGCCGTCAGTCCTGTCCTGTCCTGCCCCGCTCCGAAGGGGAGGGGGAGGATGACCCACTAAGGACTCCCCCTAACATTCCCTCCACCAAACGCCCATCATCCCATTCCACCACCGCCCTACCCACATCCCATTATCCCAAACACGATCCCATCCTCCCGCCCTCCCACCCGCGTTCCTCGCTGATATTAGGCTCGTGTCCCACCATCCCTCGTATTCTCGCCCGCGTCCCTCTCCCTTCTATCCAGAAGGTTGGGCGGGTATCCGCCACCCTGGTTTGACTCTCTGCCTGCGTACTGCTCCTCCACTATCATGAACAAGGTGTTGACGAGGATGCATACCGCGAACACGCACTCAAACCACGTACTCGTCACGGCGCCTTCAAGGCCGGCGCGGGTTGAGGAATCACGCGGGTGAACCATACTCTTGAACTTGGTCATGCTAGTCAGAGCGTCAGGAGAAGCCTTTGTCTCAAACCGTGTCGTTTCCTCAGAATCGGCAAGGTCGTCGGTCATCTTGCTAGTCTGGCCGTTCAACTCGCTAACGAGCATGCCTCCCCCCCTCGTCGAGGAGGTGGCGGAACAAAAACAAACGGGTGACGACGGAGAGGGATGACCGGACCTGACCGACACACTCGAAATCACTGAGTATACAGTGCCGCAACCGAGACGAGTGTCCCCTGCCATAATTGCCGAGGTGAGCGACGCGACCAGTTGCGGAGAGGGAGAAGGAGGAGGAGGAGGAGGAGGAGGGAGGAGGAGGAGATGGGCGAGAAGGAAGAGGAGGAGGAGGAGAAGGAGGAGGAGGAGGAGGATCTCGAGGAGGAGGAGGAGGAGGAGGAGCATCTCGAGAAGGAGGAGGAGGAGGAGGAGGAGGAGGAGGAGGGGAAGGAGCGTCACAAGGAGGAGGAGGAGGTGGAGGAGGAGGAGGAGGAGGAGAATCTCGAGGAGGTGGCGCCGCGCCTGGCTCCGGCCCCGCGGAGGCAGGGGGGCCGCCGCGCACGCCTGCGCTGCGGCGGGCGTCCAGGAGCGCCCGCCGCAGCTCGGCGTTGCTGAGGTCGATGACGTCCCGCAGCGCCGCGGCCTGCGCGAGGAGGCGCAGGAGAAGGAGGAGGAACAAAAATCGATGAGAATCGATGAGGAGGAGGAGGAGGAGGAGGAGGAGGAGGAGGAGGAGGAGGAGGAGGATCGATGAGGAGGGGGAGGAGGAGGATTGTGGAGGAGGAGGAGAAGGAGGATCGAGGAGAATCGAGGAGGAGGAGGAGGATCGAGGAGGTGGATCGAGAAGGAACAGAGGGAGGAGGCGGAGGAGGAGGAGGAGGAGGAGGAGGATCCAGGAGGAGGAACATGATCGAAGATGAGGATCGAGAAGACGGAGGAGGAGGCGGAGGATCCAGGAGGAGACGGAGGAGAAGAATCGAGGAGAAGGAGGAGGATCGAGGAGGAGAATCGAGAAGGAGAAGGAAGATCGAGAAAGGAGGGGAAGCAATTCGAGGGCCCAGGATCCAGGATCTGCCCCGTTCCTGGGCCTCCTCGTAGCCACGGCCGGATCCGCCTCGACATCATGGTCAGAACGCGCCCCAGCACGGGTCAGTGGGCGATTATTAATAGGGGATATGACAACCCCTATCCCAGGCTTTGGGCGGGCTTCGACCGGACCACAAATTTTGCGCCCAACCCTGGGATATACGATGGGGGGCGTCCATCCTGGATAGGGGTGCGTCTGACTAGCCCCCTGGGGGTGTATCCAAAGGTTCCCCTCCTTTTCTGAGCGACTTCATTTTTCGTCGAATATTCCGGAGCTGGGGGAGAAGAATCGCCTGCGATGTTTTGGCCCGCGGGCCCTTGCTCCATGCAAAATTGCGACGGGCAAGTCTCCGATGGCCCTCGCTGGGCCCCAGGGACCATCTGAAGACGACTCGGAATGAAAGATCGGCCCTAATCGGGGATCTACTGACCTGTACCAATCCAAACCCGGGTCAATCGGGCGTTGCAGGATCCTGCAGGATCCTGCAGGACCCTGCACCCGAACCCGGGTCAGTGCAGCCCTGGTGCTGCAGCATCCTGCAAGATCTTGCGCTCGGACTGACCCCCGCTTGCATGGGCCCCCGTCTCTTGAGCTCCGAATGGGGAAAGGGCTGGGACTTCCGGGGACCCCGCAGTGATGAAATCAGGGCATCGGATGCCTGGGGAAGGAGGACGAGGACGAGACGCGCGTGTCCGCCGGCAGGCGGGCCCCTTAGGAGCGGCGCGGGCGGGCCGGGGCCCGGTCACATGTGCGTGTGAGCCAGGTAATCCTTCCCCCAATTGTTCCACACGTTGTGTAATGAAAAGGGATCGGGGAGGAGGAGGAGGAGGAGGAGGAGGAGGAGGAGGAGGAGGAGGAGGAGGAGGAGGACGAAGACGAGGAGGAGGACTTGGAGGGGGAGGAGGGGGAGGAGGAGGAGGGGCAGGAGGAGACCTTCGTCGACGGCCTCGCGACGCAAAGTAAGTCCTTCCCCTAATTGTTCTACGACGTGGTATTGTCCCCGCGAACGAAACCAGGGACTCCGAGGCTCTCTCGGTTGGCCCCCCGCGCGCCACGCGCAGGGGCGCGAGGCCCCGGCAGAGAGGAAAGGCAGCCGCCGCCGAGGGCGACGACGGCGACGACGAGGCGGCGAGGCGAGGATGCATGAAGCGACGACGACGGCGAGGCGAGGCGAGACGACGACGGCGAGACGACGACGACGACGAGGCGGCACGACAACGGCGAGGGCGGCACCACCCCAAGCGACACGACGACAGACGAAGGACGCGCAGCGGCGCGAACAACGACAGCGGCGACGACGGGGGCGCTGGCGGCAGCCGCTCGCGCGGAGAGGCGGGAGCGGCGGGGCCCCGGCGCCGAGCCTGGACAAGGAAGCACTCCGCCCTCCCGTGAGGGGGAGGTGGTGGTGGTGGTGGTGGTGGTGGTGGTGGTGGTGGTGGTGGTGGTGGTGGTGGTGGTGGTGGTGGTGGTGGTGGTGGTGGTGGTGGTGGTGGTGGTGGTGGTGGTGGTGGTGGTGGTGGTGGTGGTGGTGGTGGTGGTGGTGGTGGGTGGTGGGTGGGTGGTGGTGGTGGTGGTGGTGGTGGTGGTGGTGGTGGTGGTGGTGGTGGTGGTGGTGGTGGTGGTGGTGGTGGTGGTGGTGGTGGTGGTGGTGGTGGTGGTGGTGGTGGTGGTGGTGGTGGTGGTGGTGGTGGTGGTGGTGGTGGTGGTGGTGGTGGTGGTGGTGGTGGTGGTATTGGTGGTGGTGGTGGTGGTGGTGGTGGTGGTGGTGGTAAAGGAGGAGGAGGAGGAGGAGGAGGAGGAGGAGGAGGAGGAGGAGGAGGAGGAGCAAGAGGAGGAGGAGGATGCGGGGCTGATGGGCGGCCCGCTTATGCGTCCGAGTGTGCGTGCCCCCGTCCTTGCTCGTGCCACTGCAAGAACCAGCTGCCGCCCCTGGAGCAGTAGCAGGAGGAACCGGATGAGCACCGCGGCTCTCGACTTCCGCTGCCACCTGCGCCCAAGGATCGGCACAAGCAGCCAACGGATCCAAATGATGAAGGGCTGATTCGTGAGCCACCTTCCTGAGGCGGGATGGTTCCCCTAACTATCCGTTCACAACGGGCGCGGCGTAGAGCCTGTGCACCAGTGTGCCGAATCCTGGCTGCGGCCAGACAATCAGCGGCGCGACGCGAAGGGAGCACTGAAACACGAGGCACCACATCATGAGGAGGCGAACCCGACGCAGCAGGGCCACCTCCATGAAGCACTGCAGCAGGCGCAGCACGGGCATGTCCTGGCTGAGGTGCAGAAGCAGCCGGGCAGGCTCGCCGCCGTCTCCAGCGCCCAGCACCTGGGCCAGGGAGCCGCCGAGCAGCGACGGGCGGCAAGCCCCGATGCCTCCGGGCGGCGAAGCCCGCACAGGAGCGACTGCACACCCCGGGCCTATGCACGCTTGGCTTGGGCACGTCGCCCGGCTGCCGTGCGCCGTGGGCGCGCTGCGCGCCGGGGCGGAGGGCCGCGGGGCCGAGGCCAAGGGAAGGGGGCGGAGGAGGAGGGAAGCGGCGCAGGGCGAGCCGACGGCGCTGGCTCGCAGGATTCAAGAGGCCCGGCCTGAGACTGCACTCTTGGGCCAAAGTGGCTACGGAACGAAACCGAGGATCGAATCAAAAGGCAAACGAGCCCGCACGCGTTGGCCCGTTCGCCACAGCAGGGGCGGCCTTGGCTGAGCCCCGCGAACCTCGCGAGAGTGCACATCCAAGTCAGGAGCGCCACTGAGCAGGGTCCGACCGTCGCGGCATTCCTATGGGCTTGCCACAAGATGTTCTTGAAACACGATGTTCGCCAGGGTGGATCCCAAACAGTGAGTTCTTGCAACACAGGCGGTGCAATCTAGGTTCCAGGTGGTTTTGGATTCCCCACTGACATACTGCAGACCGACTGCCTTTTAGCATGTCAGTGGTTGGGTGGTTTATGTTTGCTTTGGTGAAGGGGCCCAAGGACACACAAATAAATACACACAAAATAAAAGGATTCCCCCATATTTCCCCATATATTTTCTGGGTTGGTGTCTTCCCCACCACTTCCCATAGTTTCCCATATCTTCCTGGGGATCGACGATCAATTGTGTCAGTGTGTTTTTTCCCCTCCTGATTTGGTCCTGGGACATTTCCCCCGGAGCCCAAGCCCCGTGTGCCGAGGGGGCGGGGCGGCGTGCCGAGCCTGTGTGTGGGCGGCGAGCCAAGCTCCGTCGGCAACACCACCTCCTCCTCCGCCGCGTCCTCCTCCTCCTCCTCCTCCTCCTCCTCCTCCTCCTCCTCCTCCTCCTCCTCCTCTTGCTCCTCCCCCTCCTCCTCCCAAGTATCCTTCCATTCTGTGCTTACTGAGGGCTCTCGACGAAGGACTTCCTACTAAGGATTCCTTGGTGATGGCCCATCACCAAAGATGTTTTACGAACGGCTACAGCATTCGGAATCCATACTTCGGATAACTTACTAATGAGTCCGTACTACTGACTCCTTGGTAAGAAATCCCGACGAAGACTCCCCTATTAGGGTTTTCCTGCAGAAGGATGCTCTGCTAAGGACTCTAGGATAAATATTCCTACCTCGGAAACCCTGGCTGAGGATTCATTACCAAGGACTCCCAACTAAGGATTCCCGGCTAAGGATTCCGTAGCATGAAACCCTGATTGAGGATCCCCTCGAAAATGCTAGTTCACAAGAATGTCCATACTACGGGGTCCTTACTTAGGGCTCCTCTCTAACTGAGGATCCCTTACTAAGGATCCTTTGCGAAGGATATTCAGTTGAATCTTCCTCATAATGATATAGTGCTTGAGGACCCCATACAAAGAATTCTGGACGAAGGATTCCCTACTGAGAATCCTGTACTAAGAATGTTTCAGCAAGGACCCCTTACTATGGACCTATGGGAAAGATCCCTTTTCTAAGGATTCCTGTTGAAGACCCCGTATGGAAGAATGCTATACAAATGATTCCTTACTGGGGCCTCATTGATAGCGGCTCCGTTCTCCTGGTTCTTTGTTAAGAGGAGTCCCGCAGCTAAAACGGATTAGGACTTGTTACTAAGGATTCCATACGAAGGCTTGCCCACGAGAGGATTCCGTGCCCATGAATTCGTGCTCTTAGAAAATGGATTCCTTACTGGGAACTCCCTACTGAGTACCTCTTACACCATACTCATTACCAGGGACCCTTCTGAGGGTTCCTGGTTCGTGTCCTCCACTCAGAATTCCTTACTGCGGGCTCCATCCCAAGGCGCCCTGAAGGACCCCTTGAATGGATTCCTAGAAAAAACGTTCCTGACAGAGAATTCCTGACCGAGGATCCCGCACTAAAGCTGCCATACCAAAGACACCTCACCCAGAGCTCACTGATAACGACTCCGCCTTTTCGCCTCCTCAGGGGGAGAGAGCGCACCTGCCCGCTATGCCAAGCCCATGGCTCGGGGGGCCCAAGGGGGGGGGAGGGGGGGAGGGGGGGGGGGCGGAGCCAGCGAAGCAGCACGAACACGAGCGACAGTGACTCCAGGGCCGCCGATGCCACCGCAGCCCCCTTAGGAGATCCCTCCTCTTTGGGGGCGTTCCTGCGGGGGTGTCGGCTGCGTTGGCGACCCTCCCCCGCCCTCCTCCGTCGCGCCTACTGCTCCCCCCGGCTCCTCCTCCTCTTCCCTCTCGCTCTTCCTCCCCTCCCTCCCTCCCTCTCTCTCTCTCTCTCTCTCTCTCTCCCTCTCTCTCTCTCTCTCTTCCTCCCGTTCTTCCTCCTCGTGTCGCCCGTCCGGCGGTCACCCTCTCCTCAGGGGAAGCAGCCCCCCTTGTTTGGCTGTGGCGCCGCCAACGTTTACAGCCCCCTCCCAACCCCTGGCGATGCTCTGCTGCTTGGCGAAGGAGGGGCGGAGGCGCGGGCTCCAGCTCCTTGCACCACTGAGTCACCACCACCCCATCCTCGATTCTCCCCCTTCCTGGTGAGACTTGTTGGCCCTTCCTGGGGAAACCACAAGGCACCGATACCTCTACTGACCAGCCCTCTCCTGGGGTGCGTTCTGACGAGAGTTTCGACGCGAATCCAGCGGTGGCGACGACGGCCTTCAAGGAGGCCCAAAGAGGGGAAAACGAGGCAAGGGTAGCAGCATGGGTACAGCGGGACCTGGGACAGCAGAACCTCTCGCAAGGACAGGAGGCCCTCCGCAGGCCCCAGCTGCAGAGCACTCGAGGGCACCCTCCCCCCCGGAATGCACGAGAACATCCAACAAGCATTAAGTCGGGCCTGTCCCCCTACAGGGGGATTTTCGACGAAAAATTAAAAATACCCCCAAAAAATGCACCGAAAAGGTCAAACAACACAAACAATACAAAAAATAATCCCCATACTATCTTTGGGCTATTTTGTTGAGTATTTGTGTGGTATTTTTAATTTTTCAACGAAAATCCCCCTGTAGGGGGACACGAAGAACATCAGGGCACCCTCCCAGAGCCGACCTCAATCCTACACCTCGCCCCGACTGCACCTGCTCCTTCTCGCCCACTTCCCGAGGAGGAGGAGGAGGAGGAGGAGGAGGAGGAGGAGGAGGAGGAGGAGGAGGAGGAGGAGGAGGAGGAGGAGGAGGAGGAGGAGGAGGAGGAGGAGGAGGAGGAGGAGGAGGAGGAGGAGGAGGAGGAGGAGGAGGAGGAGGAGGAGGAGGAGGAGGAGGAGGAGGAGGAGGAGGGAGGGGAGGAGGAGGAGGAGGAGGAGGAGGAGTGAGGAGGAGGAGGAGGAGGAGGAGGAGGAGGAGGAGGAGGAGGAGGAGGAGGAGGAGGAGGAGGAGGAGGAGGAGGAGGAGGGAGGAGGAGAAGGCGGAGGCGGAGGAGGAGGTAGGAGGAGGAGGAGGAGGAGGAGGAGGAGGAGGTAGGAGGAGGAGGAGGAGGAGGAGGAGGAGGAGGAGGAGGAGGAGGAGGAGGAGGAGGAGGAGGAGGAGGAGGAGGAGGAGGAGGAGGAGGAGGAGGAGGAGGAGGAGGAGGAGGAGGAGGAGGAGGAGGAGGAGGAGGAGGAGGAGGAGGAGGAGGAGGAGGAGGAGGGAGGAGGAGGAGGAGGAGGAGGAGAGGAGGAGGAGGAGGAGGAGGAGGAGGAGGAGGAGGAGGAGGGAGGAGGAGAAAGGGGGAGGAGGAGGAGGAGGAGGAGGGAGGAGGAGAGGAGGAGGAGGAGGAGGAGGAGGAGGAGGAGGAGAGGAGGAGGAGGAGGAGGAGGGGAGGGAGAGAGACGGAGGAGGCGGAGGGAGCGCCTCCGCCGCCTCCTCCGGCCAGTCGCCCCGCCGCAGCGCGCGCCCCAGCAGGTCCAGGTGCGCGGCCAGGCTCACCCTCGGCGGTCGGGAGTCCGCTGCTACAGTCGGGGCGTTGACCGAAGGAACCCTAAATAAGGAACGAGGCCCCTTTTTTTCCATCAATGAACCTTCGATGTTCCATGGAGAACCTCAGGAAAACCCAAGGAGCACTGTACAGCAACTGAGGAACACGGAGCCCCTCCCCCAAAAAAAGGGTTCCTTCTTCAGCGCCCCGACTGTACTGCTAGGTCGGGCGTGTCCTCCTACACGCGGATCTGGAATGAAGAATCTTCAAAAAATCAAAACTTGCGCAACTATACAGAACAAATCATGGAAAACCGTCCCCAGACGATGTTGAACTACTTTGGAATGTTCCTCCTGTAGATGGCCACACGCCCGACTCAAATCTACGGACCAAGGTCAATCAGAAGCCCGGGTCAGCCAGGCCGTGCAGGATCCTGAGGGATCCCGCAGGATCCTGCACCCAGGCCCTTGCCGTCGCTCGGACGTCCATTTCCCGTGCATGTGTTGGTTTCGTGCGTGCTTTTGTTTGCTCGACGGTCCAGGATGGTCCTCGATGGTTCTCGCCGAAAAAACATGCACACGTCCGAGCGATGCCAAGTGCTGGGGGCAGTGCCCCCTGGCTCCGCAGGATCCTGCGAGGGCCGGCGCTCTGGCCAACACCCTCTTGCGCTCTTTCTCCTCCCCCCCCCCCAGGGAGGCGAGCATCGGACTGGTGACCGCCACCAGCGCTCCAGTAGAAGGAGGGCCCCGACAGCCCACGCACCGTGCGCAGATCCACTAACTATGGGCACACGTGGGGCCTGGATCGGCGGACATGCCCTCACGCGAGGAGTCGCTGAGATCCGGCTTCCGCAGGTTGCTCCCGCTCCGGGCGTGCTCGCCCGGCTTCGGGCTCGGGGGCCATCGCAGGTCGATCCGGCTCGAACAGCAAGGCAAAGACAGACGAGCGACGATCAAAAGCGGGTCGCACGCCAGATGGCACAGTGACCCTACGCGGCGGCGTGCGAGGGCCGCCAGAGCGGCACGCTTCATGTGAAACGAGGGCGCCTACGCGCGACCTTAGGCGGGCAGCGCACGCGCGAATGTCAGTGAAGACGACCCCGCTTTTCTGCGTCGCTCAGATGAGGCCAGGGGGTCCGGTAATGACTTCCATTGGTGTTGCATGTGTGTTAGCGGCGTAGGATCTCAGGGGAGGTGGAGGTGGGGATCTAGGTCAGACGAAGCTGAAACAAAAATGTCTGCCAGCGCTTTCGCGACTCGTGGGGAACTCCGGAGGCCTCCGGACGCCTCCTGCCAGGACCAGCCCTAGATCCAAGACCCACCCCAGAGCCAAGACCAGCCTGGCGACGACGACCACGACGACGACGACGACGACGACGACGACGACGACGACGACGGCGACGACGACGGATCGGCTGAGCCGTCGCTCGCCCCACACCCTCCCGACGCGGCAGCAGGGTATATAATCTGAGCCCCGGGCATCAGCGTCCCCGGCGGCTCGACCTCATCCCGCTGCTCCGCCCTGCCCGCGGCGCACTCGTCCATCGGCTCCCTCTCGCCACATTGCGGCGAGGGCTCCGCATCGCCGCCCAGCGGGGGCGGCGGCGGCGGCAGCGCCGGCGGGGGAGGGCAGGTCTGCATCTCGGCGTCCCCAGCTCGCGCAAGTTCCAGCCGGAGCGGCGGCGGAGAGGGGTGGAGGGGGGAGGGGGGGAGGGAGGGCGGGTGCATGGAGCGGGCCGGAGCGGAAGGGGAGCTGATTGGGGGGGCGAGAGAGGCAGGGAGGAGGAGGAGGAGGAGGAGGAGGAGGAGGAGGAGGAGGAGGAGGAGGAGGAGGAAGGAGGAGGAGGAGGGAGGAGGAGGAGGGAGGAGGAGGAGGAGGAGGGGTGGGCAGAGGTGGGGCGATGGACGGCGAGGGGGACTGGGTGGCTGGGCCGACTGCCTGGCCTGTGCAGGCGGTGCGCGCGGCGTGGGGCCGCACGAGGCCAAAGTCCTGGAGGCGAGCCGATCCGTGGCGGCGCGGGCCTCCCAGGAGGCCCCAAGAATTTACGTCGGGCGTGTCCCCCTGCAGGGGGATTTGGGGTGATATACATATGTATATGTGTATATATATATACATATTAATATACACAAAAAAACATGTTGCTGATTTTCTTTATACTTAAAAAATACACCCAAATACCCCCAATACCAGAACATACTCCCAAATACCTCCAAATACCCCCAAATACCCAAAAATAGTCAACAAATCGTCCCCGGACTGTGTTGTGAGATTCCCCCTGTAGCAGGACACGCCACGCCCGACTTAACCCAAGAAGTAACGGAGGGAGAGGGCAGCGGTTTTTGTGATCATGGAGTTCGCAGCCAACACTACAATAGGGGGATCTTGGGTAAAACATAGAAATTACCCTGGCGACGTAGCCAACCCCTGCGCAATGCGGGGCATGAGTCGCTTGGCAGAGACGTTATACGGAGGTGATGACGTGACATGGGCGCATGTACTTCTGCGAGCGGCATTCGTGAGGCTCGCAGCCCCCCAAGGATTGCGATGTCTCGCTCAGATCTGCCTGGTGCCTCGCTCCGCTGAACCCGCCACCAGCAGCCCTCGAAAGTGGCGACAGTTTCGCAGATCGCAGCCCCCCAGGGACGGCGAGGTCCCGCTCAGATCCGCGCGGTGCCTCACTCCGCAGGACCCACCAGCAGCCCTCGAAAGTGGCGACAGTTTCGCAGATCGCAGCCCCCAGGAACGGCGAGGTCCCGCTCAGATCCGCGCGGTGCCTCACTCCGCAGGACCCACCAGCAGCCCTCGAAAGTGGCGACAGTTTCGCAGATCGCAGCCCCCCAGGGACGGCGAGGTCCCGCTCATCCGCAGGACCCACCAGCAGCCCTCGAAAGTGGCGACAGTTTCGCAGATCGCAGCCCCCCAGGGACGGCGAGGTCCCGCTCAGATCGCGCGGTGCCTCACTCCGCAGGACCCACCAGCAGCCCTCGAAAGTGGCGACAGTTTCGCAGATCGCAGACCCCCAGGGACGGCGAGGTCCCGTTTGCAGGACCCACCAGCAGCCCTCGAAAGTGGCGACAGTTTCGCAGATCGCAGCCCCCCAGGGACGGCGCGGTCCCGCTGAGATCCGCGCGGTGACTCACTCCGCAGGACCCACCAGCAGCCCTCGAAAGTGGCGACAGTTTCGCAGATCGCAGCCCCCCAGGGACAGCGAGGTCCCGCTCAGATCTGCGCGGTGCCTCACTCCGCAGGACCCACCAGCAGCCCTCGAAAGTGGCGACAGTTTCGCAGATCGCAGCCCTCCAGGAACGGCGAGGTCCCGCTCAGATCCGCGCGGTGCCTCACTCCGCAGGACCCACCAGCAGCCCTCGAAAGTGGCGACAGTTTCGCAGATCGCAGCCCCCCAGGGACGGCGAGGTCCCGCTCAGATCTGCGCGGTGCCTCACTCCGCAGGACCCACCAGCAGCCCTCGAAAGTGGCGACAGTTTCGCAGATCGCAGCCCCCCAGGGACGGCGAGGTCCGCTCAGATCTGCGCGGTGCGCTCACTCCGCAGGACCCACCAGCAGCCCTGTGGCGACAGTTTCGCAGATCGCAGCCCTCCAGGGCGAGGTCCCGCTCGAGTGCCTCACTCCGCAGGACCCACCAGCAGCCCTCGAAAGTGGCGACAGTTTCGCAGATCGCAGCCCCCGGGACGGCGAGGTCCCGCTCAGATCCGCGCGGTGCCTCACTCCGCAGGACCCACCAGCAGCCCTCGAAAGTGGCGACAGTTTCGCAGATCGCAGACCCCCAGGGACGGCGAGGTCCCGCTCAGATCCGCGCGGTGCCCCACTCCGCAGGACCCACCAGCAGCCCTCGAAAGTGGCGACAGTTTCGCAGATCGCAGACCCCCGGGGACGGGGAGGTCCCGCTCAGATCCGCGCGGTGCCTCACTCCGCAGGACCCACCAGCAGCCCTCGAAAGTGGCGACAGTTTCGCAGATCGCAGCCCTCATCGTCGGCGAAGAGAGGGCAGGAGGAGGCGGGAGGCGGGAGGAGGGACGCGACCACAGTGCTCTGTTCAAAACGAATACCCAACCAAGGAGGATTGGGAAATACTTGACAAAAAAACCCAAATACCCAAAGAAGTCAACAAATCGTCCCCAGACTATTTTTTTACTATGTTTCAATATTCCCCCTGTAGAGGGACACGCCCGACTTAACCCAAGAAGTGAAACGGAGGGAGAGGGCAGCGGTATTTGTGATCGTGGAGTTTGGAGCCAACACTACAACAGGGGGTGGACTTCACTGGGGGAAGATGATCCCAGATTGTGGTACTGCTGGTAATCTCTCGGCCGCTCGAGAGGCCCGACTACTACCACCATCACCGAGATCAGGATCATGATTCCTCGGCGGAAGCGTCCGCCAATACTGGTGTTGGTGCAAACCTCTAGGCCTCCGAGGTGTCGTTACATCTTCCTCCTCTGAGAGGGGGGGCGAAGAAACCTGACATCCGTCGAGGTAATGGTTTCAATCCGCGGCCCCAGCGGCCCCGACCGCGTGGAAGTTGTCGTCTCCGGAGGCTGTAATCTAAGAAAAGCGCCCAGACTGGACAAGACGCTGCGCGCAAGCCGCCGTGGGCGAACACACCTATCCGCAGCCGCAGCCTCGCGGGCTGGGCCCCTGGGCCGCAGCCTCGCGGGCTGGGCCCCTGGGCCGCGACCCCGCGGATACGGGGGCGCTCTCTCGCGGATGCCCTGCGCGGAGGGTAGCCGGGTAGCCCGTGCGACCGCGCGTCAGCGGGATCGCGCCCTGGAGTCCAGACCGCGAGGGCACGGGTATGAATAGGGGGAAACAAACCTAGCTCGCTTTTGACCACCCTCGCTTCCAAGAGATACCAAGCGATGCCAAACTACGGCCTGTACTGGTCAGGCCGCTTGACGAGGAGGCGCGTGGTATGACTTGGTTTTTCCTGGAAGCGAAAGCGGGGTAGGTAATTCACGGTCTAAATGAATATGCTCGCCGCTCGTGAACCCCTCGGGCGCAGCCCCAACCTCGCCAACCGCCGGCGTGGCGTCCGTCGTCATCGCCAGCTGCCCGGCGGCGGCGCCGAGCCGTGCGCGGGGGCCGCCTGCTCCCCGGTTCGCCGCTGCCCGCGGTGCTGGCCCCCCTCCTCGTCTCCGCCCCTTTGTTGCTCCCTCCCCTCGTTGGGAAGCAACCCCTGAGAGGTCGTCGTGCAGCCGGTGTTGCGAGGATAGCGTGCAAGATCGATCTCCCAGAAGCACGCCTCTCCTTGTGAGGCGATCCCCATCCCCCCGCGAGGGCCCCTTCTGTGCATGCCCTGCCCGTGCCAGGGCTTCCTCCGTGCAGAAGCCGCTATCCCCAGAGCGGGGGATAGCGTGCAGGGAACGTTGCCCAGCGAACGTCGCTGCGAATGCACCAGACGGGCAAGGATGCAAGGATACCCTTGGGAACGTTGCCCATGCTAACTATGCAAGTTGACTGTACGTTGGCAATGCGACTCATGGCTTCTCAGCCCGGCTAGGGAGCCACTAAGCCAGATCAGGCCGGCTGGAGCGCGTTTGTGCATTTTTCGTCGATGACGCAACGCCCTTCCCCCGCCGTGTGGCTCTGGCACCACAGCCGCGCCCGCGCGCACGACGACGGTGAGCGGCGAAGGACCAGGGACGAGCGACGACGACGACGACGACGCGAACACCAGGGAGGTGGCGATCTGCCCCGAAGCGCCTGCGTACACCACAATGCTCGCGTGCACCACAGCGCGCGTGTACACCACAGCGCCCGCGTACACCGCAACAGCGGTGTGCAAGGCAGCGCCTGTGTATACCACATTGCTTGCACTTCAGCGCCGGCGTACACCACAGCGAATGTGTACACCGCAGCAGCCATGTGCAACACAACACCTGTGTACACTACAGTGCTCGCGTGCACCGCGGCGCCTATACACACCACAGCGCCTGTCTACACCACAGCATCCGCGTGCAACGCAGCGCTGCTATACACCACGGCGCCTGCGTGCACAGGACAGGTAGAAGGAGCATGTAAGTGAAGATCCGCTGCGGACAGCTAAACGCCACAATAAGAGGGTGCTGATAATGAAATGCTACGTTTTTTCCTCCTCCCTCCTCCTCCACCTCCACCTCCTCCTCCTCCTCCTCCTCCTCCTCCTCCCTCGCCCGTCTCCCTTGTCGTGCGGGTCGGCGCTGCAGCGCGCGTGCGCATCTCAGCGTGCACCGCAGAATGGTCTATTGAATCAGTCCCCTTAGTTCTCGCACGGCCAATTTAGCTGGAGCCTCCTGGACGCAGATGGGCGGAATTAGGATGAGACGGGCGGACTCGGGAGGACTCGTATATTCCAACGGCGCTCCTTTTTCCATCAGGATCCATGTCCAAATCTTACACAAAACAACTTCTTCTGTCGAATCCACAGGCGCTCCATTTTGTCATGAGTATCCCTTCCAACATTCTATCTACAACAGTGGTGCGCTGTTGCACACAGTTGCTGTGATGCACACAGGCGCCGGGCCGTACACAGGCGCTGCTGTGCACGCAGGCATTGTGGTGTACACTGGTGCTGTGTTGCTCACGGCTGATCTGGTTTACGCAAGCGCTGTGGTGTACACGAGCGCTGTGGTACCCGCAGGCACTGTGGCACACCCTGGCGCTGTGCTAGTTATGTTGTCTCGTTTTGCTCTCCCTGTTTTCCTGTACCTCCCTGCCCAGACGAACATCGGCGGCGCGCCTGGGGGGGAAGTGAGAAGGGGCGGGCCTTCTCAGAAGGCTCGGAAGCCCCCCCGGCCCTCTGAGAAGCTTTGTGCGCCTTCCCCGAAGACCGACAAAAAACCTTCTCAGAGGGCGCGAGTGCCTCTGACAGGTCCCGCCGCCTTCTGAGAGGGCCTCCTCTTTCTCGCTTCCCCCACTCGCTCGCCGCCAAGTTTGGCTTTGGGGTCGCAACCCGAGCCTCCCGCGGTCGTTCGGGACGATCCTGGCACCCCCGGAAGGCCCGCGGCGAGGCGCAGCTGCTGGCACGCATCCCGAGGCCTGGAAGGTCGCCGAGAACCGGCGAACACAAACGCCCGCAAACCTCGAACCCCGGGCCCGAGACCTCAGACCTTGCTCGTGCGGCCGCTGTCCCCCCCCTCGCTCGCCGCCGAGAAAACAAAACGGCGCACGGCCGAAGTCCAGCAAAACGGCGCCCAGGCTCCAGCCCCTCGCCATCGCTCGGACGCCCATTCCCTGTGTTTTTTGTTCGGTTTCGTGCGTGCTTTGGTTCGCCAAATGATCAAGGATGCTCCTCGATGGCCGTCGCCGGAGGAAACATGCACACGTCCGAGCGATGCCAAGGCCCTGGCCTCGGAGGGGGGCACGCTGGGCCGCCGCCCCGCGCCGCGCGCCTGCTGCCCGCGGCGCGGCGGTGGCACGAAGGGGGGGGCCGCGCGCACACGCTCGGGCACGGCAGGAGCTCCTCTTCGGCGTGGCCCGCCGAGGGCGCCGCGCGAGGTTTTTGCGGCGGGCGTGTCCCTCCACAGGCGGATTCTGGACAAAAGCAACCCTTATCCCCAAAAAATGCACCAAAAATGCAAAAACAAAATCGTCCCCCGACTTTTTTTGGACTAGGTTGGAGTATTCCTCCTGTAGAGGGACAGGCCCGAGTTAACGCGAGGTGCGCGAGCCACAAGTCTAGGGGAACGAACACTGGCATAAACATAATGACTCGGAGGCGCGCACGGATTTCTCGGATCGGCGCTGGGGCCCCCTGGCGGCGCCTCCGGCGCCGCACCTAGCGCGCTCCGTGCGCCGGGGAGGGGGGTCCAGCGCGGATCCAAGGCATTCGCGCGCACCTCCGAGATTATATGAAGGTGCGCGAGCCACACATGTCATGTCTGGGTACTGGTCGGAACTCCGCAAGCTCAGTGAAATGTCGCTTGCGTGGCGCCAGCGACCTCACAATCGCGTGTGCTTGCGCGACTCCAAGAAGGAAGACTCAGAACGGTGATAAAGTATCGTGCTCACCTCCGCTTCGTATCAAGGAAGGGCCCTACTCTCACCCTGTCACTCAGCATTCAGCCGACAACCCGCCTCGGATGCAATGTCCAAACAATGATGGAGAAGCGTCACCCTGCCTGAATCCCGTCAATCTCTGTGCGCATGTGCTGTTTCAAACATTCGCCGGTCAAACGGGCCAGCGACATGCCAAATCTACGGTAAGGGCTTCAGAATATTTGTGGCTCGCGTGCGGGCTGGGCGACCCCCGGGGGGGTCTCCGACCAAAGATGCGTGTTTCTTTTGTGCGCTGCCTCAGGGACTCCCAGGGTGCTGCAAGTCAGCAGGGCGCTTCAGAAGGCCAAGGAGGATGCAAAGACGACGAATTGCACTCCAAAACTGCCAGAGATGGCCTCAGGAAGGCGTCAGAGGGTCCCAAGACAGCCCAAGACCGCTCCAAGATAGCCCAATATCGCCTCAAGCAGCCCAAGAGGTCCTCAAGAGCACTCCAAGAGGACACCTGAGAACGCCCCAGGGGGGTAAAAACATGATGCTTTACAAGGCTCAGTGGAAGAATCACACGTTCGTCCCTTTTCGGGGCTCAATCGGTTCACGACGGTCCAGAAGGCCTTCCAGATGGCCCCAAGACGGCCCAAGGAGGTTCTAAACCGACACGGGAAGCCTCCAAGAGGCCCCACAAAGATCGCACCAAGCCAGCCCAGGAGGCTCCCGGCCTTGGCACGGCCCAGGGCGGTCTCGAGACTAGCCCGACGAGGGAGAAGCCAAACCCATACGCCGAACCCTCCCCGAAGCAATGGCCCTCGAGGAATTCGGCAGGCCCCATGCTGGCCTTCGTCGTGCTAGCCTTCGAGACAAGATGGTGAATAACATGGAGGATCTGCTAGGAGCTGCTCCGCGCGTTCCGCAGGGCAGGGCTGCATCACAGCTCCTGGGGCACGTAAAAAATACTTGCGATCTGCGCCCCGAGGGCTCCGAAAATATAGTTTCAGCGCACCCATCACGCACTTCCTGTCTGACATTACCCTGGGACACATAAGAATACTGGCGATTTGTCCCCGCAGGGCCACGAACGCTTCAATTCTGCACACCCTTCATTCCGCCAGCCGATCTTAATAGTTCGCATGGGGGCACGTAAAAAATACGAGTGGTACGTGCTCCCAGCACTAGGCCCGCACGCGTTTTAGCTCCTGAGACACGCTTGAACACGCTGGAACACGAGTAAGGTGCGCCCATCAGGGCTGCGAAAGCTTCCTTCTCGGCGCACCCCTCACGGATTTCCTCTTTGACATGATTCTGGGCCGCGTAAACATACGAGCGAGCAACGCCTTCATGGCAGCGACACCGCCATTTCGGACCACCCCACGAGCCGCCGCATCTGGATGCAACCGTTCCCCCTGCGGGCCCGCCGCGGCTCTTGGTAGGGGAACGAAAAGTGACATAAGCATAGAAACTCGGAGGTCCGCGCGGATTTCTCGGATCGGCGCTGGACCCCCATCCCTGGCGCGCGGAGCGCGCCGGGGGCGCGCCGGAGGCGCCGCCAGGGGGCCCCAGCGCCGATCCGAGAAATCCGCGCGGACCTCCGAGTTTTTATGTTTATTCGGAGACCGATTTCTGACCACACCCACTTCCCGAGGTGCCTTGCGAAAAGCGGTTTCCAGAGGTGGAGGTGGGCAGCTTCCCCGCCCCAGCGGAAGGAAAAACTACCCACTTCCACCCCCGAGGGCCTATCGTAGAATCGAGGATCCAGAGGTGGGTGTGGTCAGAAATCGGTCTTCGATTTATGCCACTTTTCGTTGCCCGACTGGGGGGCCCGCCGCGGCTCTTGGGCCGCGGGCTCGGCTCGGCGGGGCCTTCTGAGGGGCCCTCGCCGTGCCAGGCTTCCACTGGCCATCGCTCGGACGTCCATCCCCTGTGCTTCCTTTCGGCTTCGTGCGTTCTTTTTTTGGCCAAACGATCAAGGATGCTCCTCGATGGTCCTCGCCGAAGGAACAAAAAACTGCACACGTCCGAGCGATGCCAAGCTCCCGTGGCCCAGTGCTGCCCCCTCCGCGGGCGCGCCGCCGGGACCCGGCGGTCCACGGCGGGCCCGCGCGCGCCTCGAGGAGAGCGCCTGGATGCCATGCGCGGAGGCATTGCTCGGAGCGGCCTCGCGCCCTCGCGCTTCACGCCGGCCTCTGGTGCTGTCTCGGAGGTGCCTCGCAGAGGCTCGGAGGTGCTCCTCGATGGGGCCGACGTCCCGTGGGTGCTTCCGGGAGGCGTGCCCGTCGGTCGGAGGAAGTAGGCAGGAACGTGAAGTAGGAAGGCGCTGAAGTAGGAAGGCGCTGTTCCGCCCCCCAGGAAGGACGGAACAGGTGGAGCCACTCGATCATCGAAGTAGGAAGGCGCTGAAAGCCGATTGGAATCTGGGAGTCCACAAATACCTACTTTCAATGACCGATGAGTAAACGCACAAGTGAAATGCGATCCGAGGGCCACAGAGGCCTCCATCCGACCTAGCCCTCACGCACTGCCTGCGCCCCCTCGGCCTGGGAGACGCGTAAAGCACGAGGGCATCACGGATCATGGGCACTCAGCTGGTCCTGAGGCCCTCAGTTGACCCCTCAGGCGGTTCAAGGGAGCTTCGATTCGGCACACCCCTGACGCACTGTGTGGCCCCCCAAATGCCTTCGCTGGCTTCCATAAACGCCTGCGCCTCCAAGGGACTATGACCGCCTGCCCCTCCAAGGGTCGCCAAAGTAGCCGTGCGAAGCATCGCAACGAGAGGTGCCGACCGTCGTCGGAACCATGCCACGATCACCAACTGATTGCAACCTGCGCGTGCAAATTTCCCTCTGGGGGCCCGCCTTGACTCCCTCCGTGAAGGCTCCATGAAGATGTCCTCCTTGGGGCAGGGTCTCCCCTCGTCGCCGCTCCCCCTCAAGCGTTCTAGCCAGAGGGACATCGAGCAATGCCGCAGTCGAGTCGAAAGAAAGCCCCTTCCCTCTGATCCCTCTCCAGCAAGAGGGGTGGGGTGTGGGGTGTGGGGCGGGGTCCCTGGGGGGATGGGGGGGGAGTCCCAGGGGTTGAGACCCCCCCAGGGGGGGGCCCTCCCTGCGAGAAACTTTCGGCTCCAGAGCGGCAGCGTCGTCGTCGTCATCACCGTCGTCGTCCCCTTCAGGGTCGGCTGCCGGGGCCGTCGCAATCTTTCTTCATCCTTGGTGGAGGGCTCCCCCTCTTCCACACAGAGGTCTGGACCAGGGGGTGTGCGGGCAATCAGAGCGTCCAAGATAGCTCTGGTTGGGTGCAAGATGGCCCAATATTGCCTCCAAGATGACGGCCCAGGATTGCATTAGACATGGCCCCGAATTAGAGGCCCAAAGGCGGCTCCATGACGGCTGCGAGGTGCCTTCCGCAGCCTCCTAAGGAGGCTCCAGGTCAATGAGAAATGCTCTGAATATCCAGGACCACCGAACACCGATAAATGTCCCAATGATTATTGCGTTAGGGCCGTTTCGCCTTCCGATGGGCCTCTGGGACCTGGAGATTGCACCGAGATGGCACCAGAGCGAGCGAGCGAGGATATGCTATGCACTGTGCTCCGCGAGACATACGAAAAGTTTCGAAAGGTGGAGGGGCGGAGGAGGAGGAGAGAAGGGTCCTGTCCTGGTCCTGCTCCGAGCTGGTACAAGGCCCCTACTAAAAGGGGGCCACAGAGGCCGTAAGGAGGCCTTCATGGCCCTCACGGGCAACCAACGAGACAAGCGTTCAATTTCCCGTTGCTACTGGTTCTGCCGGTGATCTCCGCAACTGCCCAAGAACCCTTAGTGCAAACAATGCTCTGGGACGAAACGCTGTTGCCGGTAAGCACTGTTTGCGGACTTACGGGACTGGCGCCGCCTCTGGCGGCGGCCCTGGGGCGCTCCGCGCCACAGGATCGAAGTGTTGAGACCGCCCCAGGCTACTAAAGGGGAGCTTGCTGAGGGTAGCAAGGACCACTCGGGCCTGCTGAGGCCAGCCAGGACGACCTGAGGAGGCTGCATGTGCGGAGCCCGACGCCTCACCGGCGGTCGGCGCCTCTCTCCCCCTTCCTCTTTGGACGCTCGAGAGGCGTGCGGAAATAAAAGAAGGCACGATGCCCAACAGCACAGGTGGTGCAGAACCGGCAGCGGGCCGCTGCCGGGCAGGCGGCGTTCTGCCCAACATGGACAGCGTCCGCGGCGGCACCCACAGCGAGCCCCTAAGCAAAAGGAACCAGACATGCCGCCGGTCTCGGTGACCACTGTTTCTGTACAACTTTCGACCGCCCCCCCCTTCCGCGCTCGCCCCCTCCGCACCTGCCCCCTCCACCATCACCAACACCACCACCTCCTCCCCCTCCGCTACCACCTCCTCCTCCTCCTCATCCTCCCCCTCATCCCCCTTCGTCTCCTCCTCCTCCTCCTCCTCCTCCTCCTCCTCCTCCTCCTCCTCCTCCTCCTCCTGGGGAAACCAAAAGGTACCGATACCACTACTCCCCGGACCTCTCCAGGGGATGCATTCCGACCAGAATGTCGAGGCGAATCCAACGGTG